TTGAAGGAGCTGTCAGGGGTCATTGCGGAGCCCTTGGCCCAGCTGTATGAGCATTCGTAGTCATCTGGCCAGGTGCTGAGGGATTGGAAACTAGCTAATGTGGTCCCAATTTTCAAGAAAGTGAAGAAGGTGGACCCAAGTAACTATAGGCCTGTAAGCCTCACCTTGGTACTCGGGAAGATCTTGGAAAGAATGATCAAGGAGCACATCTGTGGGGGGCCTGCAGGGGGAGATCATGCTTGGGGCAATCAGCATGGGTTCATCAAAGACAGGTCCTGCCTGACCAACCTGATTGCCTTTTATGACCAAGTAACTAAATCCTTGGATGATGGTGTCACAGTGGACATAGTCTTTATAGACTTTAAGAGGCCTTTGACACTGTCTCTCACCCCATCTTCATCAATAAATTAAATGACTGTGGCATTGATGCCTGCAGTTGGGTGCGCCCCATCAGCCAATTTTTTACCCATCCAAGAGAGTAGCGGTGGACGGGTTGTACTCAACCTGGTGAGACGTGAGCAGTGGGATACCCCAGAGCTTGGTCCTTGGGCCCAAACTGTTTAATGTCTTCATCAGCGACTTGGATGACGGGGTGGAAAGCACGCTGTCCAAGTTTGTTGATGACAGTAAGATGTGGGGCAAGGTGGACACACTTGAAGGGAGACAGAGGCTGCAAACAGATTTAGACAAATTACAAAATTGGGCAGATGAGAATAGGATGGGTTTCAGCGTAGACAAATGTAGGGTGCTGCACCTTGGGAGAAGGAATCCACAGCATACATACAGGCTGGGGAGTTCCCTCCTTGAAAGCACAGAGGCAGAAAGGCATCGTGGAGTCATTATTGACTCCAAGATGAACATGAGCCACCAATGCCAGACCGCAGCCAGCAAGGCCAGCCATACCTTGTCATGCATCCAAAGGTGCATCTCAAGCTGGTCCAGAGAGGCAATACTACCCCTCTACATGACTTTGGTCAGGCCGCAGTTGGAGTACTGCATCCAGTACTGGGCGCCACACTTCAAAAGGGATGTGGCCAGCCTTGAGAGGGAAGCAGGACAGGCCCTATGAGGAGAGACTGAGGGACCTGAACCTGTTCAGCCTCAGCAAGAGGAGGCTGAGGGGGGAACTGGTGGCTGCCTACAAACTCATCAGGGGAGATCAACAGCAAATAGGTAGAGCCCTTTTCTCCCCAGCACCACCTGGGGTGATGAGGAACAATGGTAATAAGCTGATGGAGAATAGGTTTAGGTTAGAGATCAGAAAGCAATATTTTACAGTTAGGGTGGCCAAAATCTGGAACCAGCTTCCCAGGGAAGTGACCCCTACCTTGGCCAAATTCAAGAGGAGGTTGGATGATCACCTGTCTGGGGTCTTGTGAACTCAGCATTTATTCCTGCCTGTGGCAGGGGGTCAGGCTAGATGATTTGTTCAGGTTCCTCTTGACTCTAGCGACTATGAAACCATGTTACAGTAGCTAAAACCTATAGCAGAAATAATATTTTTCATGAGATGTGACAAAATATGGAAAGGAAATTCTTTGGCAGTGATAAGGAAAATGTAAATAGGTTGAGGGAATACAGTTCTAAGTGTCTTAATTGGCAGAGGTCACTCTGATTTGAAGTTATAAATAGTGATAAAGATAAGATAAAGATTTTCTGAAAGATGGAATGCTTTAGTACAGTGGTTTTCAACCTGTGGTTCACAGACCCCTTGGATTTTGCGAACTATGTCTAAGGGGTTCATAAACGATGACTGTGATCCATCAAAAATATGTGAAAATGCACACTTACAATTCAAAAGGATCCACACCTTCATTCAAAATTTGTTTAGAGGTCTGCAAATCAAAAAAGGTAAAAAAAAACACTGCTTTAGTAGACATCTGATTGTTCCTGGCTTTGAATAGTGAATGAGACAATTCTGTAAGTGCAGAAATGAATTTTACAGCTTATTTTCCTGTCTGCTAGTATCTTGTTTTGTGGTAGCAATTAAGAACTACAGTTATGGACCAGGGCCTCTATGCTAGGCACTGGACCAATATAATTATTTTTGTACAAAATTAATTCTTTTTGATTCTCTTTCTTCGATGGAAACCAGTTGTTGCCTTAGTAATAAAATCCTTGACTTCAGCTGTCAGACTTGCATGGGATATTAAGTTACTTTAAAGGTGAGTTTAAATGCTTTTAAAAAATAAAGCCAAAAGCCTCTTTAAGGCCATAAATCACTAACAGAATACACGTGCAGGCTTAAATACAAATAAAATCCACTTAAAGAAAAATATTTGAAAATAACTTCCTCTTGATCCATAAGTGTAAATCCTGCCCCACAATTTTTGCAGGACTTGGAAACTTGTGAGTCCAGGGGGCCTTGTAGAAGTTGCTGCAGGAATAACATTGGGCTCCACAGGCTGCCTTTCCTTTGGCCTGTCTGGTTGGATGGAAACATTAGGAGTGCCAGAGGGGAGAGCAGATGACTCCCTAGGAGGTAGTGAGGGCTGCCAAACATCATCATACGCTGCGCCAGGTTCCTGCTGCTGCCCAAGTCTGTTGAGGATAGGAGACGAGTTGCTTGCAAGTCTACATAGTCTTTGTCTTTGCCTGCTCACAGCTTCATTCCTTAGTTACTGCAGTAGCTCTTGAAGCAAGGAAGGGATGCAGCCACTTGCCTGCTCATGATGAATTATGAAATGACAGCTACTGTTGCTTAATACAGGCACCAGTAGTTTAATTAACAGAATCAACTGTGAGAGTGAAGGGCAAAGAGGGATGAGGAAAGGGGAAGAGATCAATGGTTAGTTAACCTCAGGTAAGTACATGCTACATCACCAAAGACTGGCAACATTTTCCCACCACAAGTAAGTTACATAAAATAGGTCTGACTGCGCATGCCCATATACTCAAAAGAAAGTCATGGTCCTGCATAGTTCACTATACATAATAGGGACACTGCAGCTGAGGCCAACAGGGCGCCTTGAGATCCTTTGAAGGGTGCCATGGGGTATTATGCAGTGTTAGCACTGTTATGTGTGCAAACAGTATTCACAAGGTAAACTGGAGATTTAAAAAAATTAATCTGACCTCTTGTGGTATTTCTGAGTGGGTATTTGTTTGCGGGGTGGGGGTTGCAATAAAAGAGTTGCTCTTTTTTGTTTTTCCTCTAGTTAAAAATGAATGAGAACTTAAGAGCTGGCATTTTCCAAAGTTTAGAACCTTGAATCTAAAAAGTTGATAACTGCTGATATAGGTATTCTTTCAGTGCATTGTGGAGAGCTTCATGCTACACTGGAGACAAAAATGGGAATCATGGGAAAGGAGTTACTTCACAGTTATTTAAGGAAGGGATGTCAAACGCATACCAGGCCCCAGGCCAGATCCAGGCTACAGGGCTTCTAGGATGGATCCACAGATCCGACAGTGGCTTGCAACAGGTCTGGTTTTGGCAGAGGAGATCCAGTAGTGGTGGGCCAGACATCTGCCAGTTGAGCAGGTCTGTGTCACTTCTCACTTGCCTCCCTGTCACTGAGGGCCATGTCCAGTGGGGTTCAGGGACCCTGAATTCTATGACCCCACCCCTGCCTCCCTTCTCCCCTCCCCTGAACTTCATTAGCTCGCTAGAGCCTGTTGGGTTGGATGAAACAGCTTGCGAACCAAATCCAGCCCATGGGTTGTATATTTGACAGTTCTGACTTAAGGGAAACCAAAATGTTGGGGGGTCGGGATGCTATACAGTTATATGTCAGTTTACATACCTTCCATGGCTTGCATCTGTAGTAAAAATTAAAGCAATCAAGTTTTTACCTTTTTCCCCTCAGCCTTGTGAGATCTGACTCTGTTCTTGTTGATTAGAATTGAGTGTGAAATCTTTATATTTTTTTCTCGTTGCGAAGTGTACAAATGTTAATACTCTTTGTTTCTCTTCTTAAAGCACGATGTTTAAATTTTTTTTATTAGGATTATGTATCAGTTTAGATTTTAAGGTTGACTCTTTGCATATAGTTGTATTTATATAATATTTTTAAATTAGGCAGCATTATTATTTTATGACTGGTTCCAACTTCATATGCATTTAATGCCATAAATTATGTGTTGTTTTTTTTTTAACTTTCCTTTTGCTAATTCTTCATTTTGTCAAGTTATTTTGTTTCACTGTCCTTAATAGGCAGAAACCTATTTAGTGTGTTGCTTGTTCTTGGTGGAACTCTATAGAAACCATATTCTCTGAGATTAGTCAACTGAATAGTTACTATATTTCTCACTTCTGTTACTGGGTTTTGTTAGTGACTGTGTTTTCAAGAATGTACTAAGTGTTTTGTAGATCACCATGTCAACAAAAAACCTTACTTTTCTGTTACCTCTCTGTGGTTGGTCTTGTGAATCTGTTCCTTTTTTCCTTTCTCAGTCATTATTTGGTATTTATTTCTCTTTGCAGAGGTCTTTGGCCTTTGGACCCCCCCCCTCCCCCCCCCAGTAAAAAACAAACTCAGAGAGTACACATGAATCTACCAGTGTAGCCTTAGTGATAGCACCAGTAGTTTTATTTGTAATAAAGAGCTCAGTCTGTTTAATAGGAAGGAGTCTGTGCCACCCATTCCCATTACATGGAGGGCATATGTAACAGACATCCATATAGGACTGATTCCATAGTATTGCTAGGTTTGCTCAGAGGCAGCGAGGAAGCATGTTTTGCATGGAAGGCCATGGTTTTAGGCTAATTCTGATTATCTGTTATGAATCTTAAAAGATGCATGCATGGTCTAATACCCCCACTACTGGGAGGAATCTGTGTGACAAGACCCCCATCTAACTTCTCTTTCTTTGTCACCAGATCCAGTCTCACCCATGTCATGGATCTGGTCCTGTGGTCAGATCCATGATCTGAATCCATTCATTTTAGCCTACCTGTTAATTGTGACCAACATTTTATAAATTGTTAAGCATGTAGCCTCTAGCTAGTTTTCAAGAAACAGAAACTTACATGAAACTCTTTCCCCTTTTTTAAAAAGGTAACGGATTCTCCAGCAGATGTAGCAGAAAGAGCAGACAGGATTATTACTATGCTACCCTCCAGCCCCAATGCAGTAGAAGTTTACATGGGAGCAAATGGAATTCTAAAGTAAGAATTTTTCTCTGCCCTGACTGGTTTCCACTAGTGATCAAGGGTATATTACTTAGATTTGCATTTTACTAGATGGTACATGGGCCATGCATTTAACTGGGTATTTTTCTGTGTAATTTGCTAACTGTGGATTTCATTTAATCTTCGTTTACTGTTGAATATACTTTTGCCCAAAAATCCCTCTGTTTTAGAAAGGCAGGCTTTTCTCCAAAGCTAAAAGAAGGGACATGCAAGAACTTAAAAGAAGACAAATGGGAACATACATATATTTAGAAAATTAACATAATCCTAAACTGTTTTACAGTAATGGTTGTTGTTTTACAGTAACGGTAAGCAGCTAATGCTCACTGGCAGTGGTTCATTTTCTGAGACATTCCACTTTTTTATCTTTTTTTTTCTTGCGGATTAGGTCTGAAATGATGCTATGGTACTGCATGATACTGTGGATAGACTTGTATTGATTTTTCTTCTTTCTTTTAAATTCTCAATGTTGATAAAGGAATTCTAGGATTTATCACTAGAAATAAATGGATCGGTGACTCATTTTTCAGTTATCTAGCAATTTAATCCTTTTTTTTTTTAATTTGAGACCAAGCTGTTGTTGTTGGTACTCCTTGGAGGTATATCGATACTATTGCCCTACGACTCTTGAGCATGCATTGCTTTCCCTCTTCTGCTTGTATTTGTCAAACCTGGAAATGTGGTAGTGAAGCTCTCAATCTTTGTCTTCAGTCTGCCTGAGAGTGGCTGTGTAGTGCCCCCTCAGTAGCTTCACTGTTGCATTACTGGGTTTGGCACATGCAAGTGTAAGCTGCTGGGTAGGGCTTGCTTGAAGGCACCCTCCCCTGAGAGTGCTAGGGATGTGGCAGTCTAAAAGGCTTTCGTAAGATCATCATTTAATAACATTTTAGGATGTCTGTCTCTGTGATGTCTCTTATCTCCTGGGTTTAATAAATACTATAGTTTTATTGTGGAGATATTTACTGTGCTCCTCCATATGTTGTTTGGGTAATACCTTTATAAATGGGCATCTGTTTAAAACCAGCCAAAAGGCATGGAGATTTTGATCTAGACCTTTACTTTACTTTAAATCAGTACAGCTCCTGTGTCTAGTCCTCTGGCTCAGCTGAATCTCCAGTTCATAGCCAGAGGACACTCAACTAGAAATGCTTTGCTTAATTCTTGCATGGACAAATCAGGGGCTCCGTTATTCAATGTGTCACCAAGTATACCTGACCTGTTGATATACCAGGCTCAAGCCAGCCATGGGGGTGATGAACTTCCTATTTCACTTCTTTAAAAAAAAAAAAAAAAAGAGGAGGATCAGGACTAAATGGGTATAGTATTTTAGGATGGTGTCTAGGGTCTAGTTAGGATTTTAAACTACCATATAGCTTTATCCTTGATAATTTTGGTTGGATTTTAAAGCTCTTATTACCTGTAGAATGCATTCAGTGAGTCTTAGAATCATAGAAAATTGGGGTTGGAAGGGACCTCAGGAGGCTAGAAAACCCAACATCCTGCTCAAAGCAGGACCATCCCCAACTATTTTAGCCTAGCCAAGGTTTTGTCTAGCCTAGTCTTAAACACCACCTCCAAGGATGGAGAGTCCACAACCTTCTTAGGTAGCCTGTTCCAGTGCTTTACCATCCACCTAGTGAGTTTTTTCCTAATATCTAATGTAACTTCCCTTGCTGTAACTTAATGCTGTAACTTTTGCTCCTTGTTCTATCATCTGCTGCCACTAAGAACAGTGTATAGCTTCATCCTTTTTGTAACCACCCTTCAGGTAGTTGAAGGTTGCTATTAAATCTTCTCTATCTTCTCTTTTTCAGATGAAATAAGCCCAGGTCCCTCAGCTTCTGAGAAGTTATGTGCCTCATCCCCCTAACCATTTTTGTTGTCCTCCACTGGACTCTGTCCAGTTTGTCTACATCCTTCCTGTAGTAGGGGGCCCAAAACTGGACATAGTACTCCAGATGTGGCCTCATCAGTACCAAATGGAAGGAAATAATCACTTTCTTCTATCTGCTCACAACGCTCCTACTAATGGAGCTAACCAATGCTCCTTTTAATGCCTCCAAAAACTTGTTTGAAGGCAGCTATCTACGAGCAGGGGTGCTCAAACTCCAGCCCACAGGGCAGATCCAGCCTGTGGAGTCAACTTCCAGCTCTCAGGGCTCCCCCACAGGTTGGAAACTTAGCAGCAAGGAGTGGTGGAAGCTCTGCAAAGCCAGATTCAGCCTCACCGAGGCCACTGCCCCCACAGTGGAATCAGGGCCAGCCCCCCTTTGCATCCAGAGTGGGGCTGCTTTGCCCTGTGTCTTCCTGTCCCACCTCCTTTGAGCATTCAAATTGGGGGCACTCTGCCCCTCCCCTCCCCACGTGCCTGGATCATGACCAGACTGCTCCCCTACATCCAAATTGGAGTTGCTCTGTCCCTTCCCTTGCATCCAGATAAGGGCTGTTCCATGTCCCACCCCACTGCACATCTAGATTGGGGATGCCCCACCCCAGTATGCCCCTGCCCCATGCATCTGTATCAGGACCAGGCTGCTTCCCTTCCTTCCCCTCTCCCCCCCAATGTGTCTAGACTGAGGTAGCTGTGCCCTGTCCCCACCCTCTTGTAGCTGGATCAGGCCCATTGGCCAGATTTCCAGCTCAAGGAGAGACCTGGCAGTGCTCAACCAGTCTGTGGGGTGAGAAGGTTGGGCTCCACAGACTTAGAGCATTGATCTCATGTTCAAAAGTTATTCCAATCATACTTCATAAATTTTCATTAGCTTGGAGGCATGTATCTATGTTTATATCTGGTAGAACAGACTTTTGGTATCGTGTTTTATAACTTGTTCTGAACTTAATGGAAGATGATACAAATGTGAGGTCAGTAGGTGACACCAGTATTAGCGTGTCCAGTATAATATTTTTTGGGAAGTAGGACTAGCTCCTGGTATTAGACAATGTTTGAGTGAGTCATAAGTAAAGTCTGAAACAGGGGTGTCAGATACGTGGACTGGATCTGACCCATGGAGCTGCTGTATCTGATCTACTATGCTATTGAGGTTAAGTGGCCTGCTACAGAATCCAGACCTTTTGGGGCCTGGTGGACTTAGCGATTGGTAACAGGAGGGTTGATTTATTGACCCTAGTTGCCCTCCAGCCTCTTCGCCCATCACCACTGCCATGGTCTTGCCTCCTCAGCTGCTGGCCCTGCCACCACCCTACATGGGACCTACTGCTGCATGCCTCATGTCAGAGCCAAAACTACCACCATAGCACAGCTCATGTGGCTCTGGCTCTGGCCTGGAGCATGCAGCAGGAGCCAGAGCTGTGCTGTGCGCCCTGTGCTGGAGCTGCTACTGCTGCCGCCATGTGTCCTGGGTCAGAGCCAGAGCTGCTGCTGCCACTGCCATTGCCACATGGCCTGGGTTGGATGCAGCCCACAAGGAGCCTTGTAGTGTATATCTGGCTTAGGGCGCAAGGTGAGTTTGACACCCATAGCCTAGAGGTTGAAGGTATCCCTATGTGTGTTATGTTTATAATATAAACATGCTGATATGATGAATTTAATTTCTGTATTTTGACTTTACTCAGAACCAGTTGGGTAGACTATAGTATGGGCAAAGGCCATTTCTGTTTGTAGTTTTAAATTATTTGCCATTTTTGCTGGGGAAAAATGCTGTTTTGCATGGGTTTGTGCTTTATTACATGTATGGTAATGGGTTGAGAGAGCTTGGGGAGAAGGGGAAAGACGCAAGCTGAATTTGCTATAGATACTTTTGTAATGGCTCTCCTCTTTGTTTTTCTCTTCAAAGGTGCAAAGGGTGGGGGACAGGCATGACCCTTTTCTTCTTGCATACATTTGCCACAAAGAAAGTTTACAACTATTTCCCATGTTGCTTCCATATTTTGTTTGCTGTCCTATACCCTTGCATCTGTTGCAACCTATGAATCTGTTCTTGTTTAGGACTAGTTATAGAAATAAAATAAAAGGAGGCTGCTATACTGAGATGAATATATGATTTTGATATGAAAGAAAGTGCTTTTTGAAAAGAATATATCCATAATAATTTTTTTAAGGTTTAAAGGAAACTGTATAAAAACCTAGGCACAGCATTGCATGCATTAATGCAGGATTGTCTGACATGTCTGTGGCCAGGGGCCGCGTGCTTCAAGAGGTATGTGCTGCGGGGGCAGCATCAGTGGCAACACACAACCCTCTGGGATTCCTCCTGGGATTGACACTGCCCATGCCAGCACACAGGTTCAGTGCTACACAAGCGGCAGTAGCACGCGGCTCCCTGCAGGTCTTCCTCCCTCTTCCCCGCCCCCTGTACTACACAGCAATGGAAGAGTGGCCACAGGGGCCTGTTGGTCTGAATGCTGGCCCTTTGTGGGCTGCATGCAGCCCACAGGCCACCAGTTGGACAACTCTGATATAATGCATAGACATATAATGTATTGTAAACTTAAGATATAGCATTGTATTTGATAGGCTCTTCACTTAAACAGTGCAAATTTTCTAGTCTACTACTATGCCATAGCAAGGTTTAGGCAGAAAGAATATCATTTTTTCTGTTCAGGTTTATAAGAACTACTCTTAATTAATTTTGAATTACTATTTCTGGATCACCAAAAACTAAATTGCATGGTGAAATCAAATAAAATGTTACATTGCAACACCTTGGCAGATCTTACTCACTAAAGTTATAAAATTGTTAGTAAACTAAGCAGCAGCTGTGGCTAATTTCTCATTCATGGTAATGCTAATTCAGTCCACTTGATAGTGATGGCTAAGGATGTCATGTGGCTATTTGGCTAATTTGGGTTTTTTTTCCTTTTTAGGAAAGTGAAGAAAGGTTCCTTGTTAATAGATTCCAGTACTATTGATCCCGTAGTTTCAAAGGAACTGGCTAAAGCAGTTGAAAAAATGGGAGCTGTTTTAATGGATGCCCCTGTTTCTGGAGGTAAAGCTCTGCTAAATCTATATTATTATATGAAACCTCTACTGGTGTGTCCTACCAACTTACCTAGCTGTCTCTTGTTGCTGATGGATAAGCAACACTATCCCATTGTGGTGGAATGCCATCTCTGTCTCTTCCCAAACTCTGCTATCAGGCAGATGCCTAATCTGACAATTTGGTTACTATGGTCATTGCAGAGGGCAGACCCCCCTGGCCCCGTCAGCTTCAGGTAACCCTAAGTTGTAACCTGAGCTGGATACATTTCAGAGGGAGGGGGAAACCTGCTCCCTCTGCCTAAGTGACTGGACTCTCACACCTGGGTTGGGGCTTAAACTCCCTATTGTTCTAAGCAATGTCATCATGACTGGGAAGGGGCTAGAGACCCTGCCAGTCTACCTGGCAGCCAGTGATGCATTTCAAATTGGTTGGCTGGCAGCCAACAGCTGCTGGCCTTCATTGGATCAGTTGGGTAAATGAGGTCATAAGGCCTATATAGGTTAAGGACTGCCCAGGAGGCAAAGCAGTAGCTGTAATGAGAGGTTTCGGAGAAGCTGGACCATCTGAAACTTGCTGTCTTGAAACTCATGTTCAGTGAACTGCTTGCCTCCGGATGGAATCTCCACCTGCCTCTGGATAGTACTTGTGAGTAAGCTACTCAAGATCTAGCTTGCAGTAACTCAGATGCATGATCAAAGGTTACCATGTCAGTGTTTGCTCTAAGGTATTTCTCTAATATTCCTCTACTCTGTACCCTATTCCAAACCTAGTCCTTGTAACCATTAAAGTTCTCCTCTGTACCTAGTGTGGGAGACTTACTGGGAGAGGGTCTAGATTATGCCTGGGGGGGGGGGGGCCCCCTTGGTTGGG